AATGTTTTGTTTTTGTCTTTGTATTTGTAGTGCTTAACATAGTTACTGACATATTGAAGATACTTAATAAATGCTTGATATTGATGAAAGAAATCTATTAGAGGACATACCTTACCTGTTTGAGGTTGATGTCACAAAAGTCAAGGAAGCTCTCCTACTGAAACTTGGTGCCTCTGACTCCAGGGAAAGATAAATAAGCCTAGTTCTAACAAGTTCTGTTACTGCTGCACTTCTTTCTCCTTGTCTTCTAACTAAACATTTAGCCTTTATATTTAAATAAAATATTAAATAAAAAAAGAAAAGTTCCTTCTCTATCTACCTTTCATTAGATATATTCAAGAAATGCTAAATAGAATCATAGAGCATGACAGGGCAGCTAGGGGGTGTAGTGGAGAGAGCACCAGACCTGGTAGTCATGAAGACTCTTCTTTCTGAATTCAAATCTGGTCTCAAACACTTACTCCTGTGTGACCCTGGGTAAGTCTCTTAACCCTGTTTGCCTCAGTTTCCTCATATGTAAAATGAGCTGGAGAAGGAAATGGCAAATCACTCCAGTATCTTTGCCAAGGAGACCCCAAAATGGGGTCATGAAGAGTTGGACATAACTGAAAAACAACTGAACAAGATATATTTTAACATCTTATTTGATTCATTCTGAAGATTTGTTAAACTTGTAGGATCATTATTCTGTCATCCCTAGTACATTCCCCTAGGGACCTCCTTCCAAGCTGACATTGAATCGTGAATTCCTCTGGCCATCTGAACTAGTGACAAATCCACTTAACTGAATCATTGCCTAGTTCACATCTTTCCATCTTGTCTACCGAAAAAACAAACAAACAACAAAACACTTTATCAATTGCTTTGCTAAAATCTAGATTAACTGTATCTGTAGTATTCTGCTGATCTAACCTAGTTTTAAAAAATGGAAATGAATTTCTTTTGATATAACCTGTTCTATAGAGAACCATATTGGTTCATGACCTTCACAATGTATCCTTTCTAGTTTTTAACTAATCATAGCAGGTATCATGGAACTACAGCTAGAAAAGATCTAAAAAGCCATATGCTCCAATGCCCTCATTTTGGAATTGAGGAAATTGAGGCAGACAGAGGCTGAGTGACTTGACCAAGATCACATAGTTAGTAGTGTCTGAGGTTGGATTTGAACTCAGGTCTTCTTGATTCCAGGTCCAGCACTATATCCACTCTACCTCCTAGCAACCTAAGGAAGTTTATGATATTTAGCCTGGAGAAGTGATTTTTTTTTTTGGTAGGGTATGCATGCATAGGTGATAGCTTTCTTCATGTATCTGGAAAGCCGTCACAAGCAAATGGGATTAAAAAAAAAAGAAAGAAAGAGGGATAAGATTTTTTTTTCTGCATAGCCCTAAAAAGGAAAACTAGGAGTAATGTTGCAGAGACAGTTTTACATATGATAAAAGGCAAAACTTCCTAACAATTACAGATATCTTAAAGCGGGATGGGTTGGCTCAGGAGGCAGTGGGTTCTCTCTCACAGTAGGAGGTTTTTATTTAGAGGTTAGATAAATTAGGGATATTGTGGGGGGTGGGCACAATTCTTGGCCAAGTACAAGTAAATTCTAACATTCTGTACTTCTAAAATCAATGCTAGTAATTGCAATGAACTATCGAGTACCAGCTAGTACATTGCTAAGAATGCCAAGACTTCTGACCCTGGATACTGTGTTCTTGATACTACCACACTGCCTATCCAGCTACTCAAGGCCAACACACACTAGGCACAGTCCATGAATTGCCTAGGGTGAAACAAATGTCTAATGCAGGGGTGGGGAACCTGCAGCCTCGAGGCCACATGTGGCTCTCTAAGTCCTCAAGTGTGGCCCTTTGACTGAATCCAAATTTCACTGAACAAATCCTCTTAATAAAAGGACTTGTTCTGTAAAATTTGGACTCAATCAAAAGGCCACACCCAAGTACCTAGAAGGCCACATGTGGCATGGAGGCCGCAGGTTCCCCAACCCTGGTCTAGTGATAGGGCCAACAGCAACACATGCTCCTCCACCTATGCACAGAATCAGTCCTTAACATCTGACTCTGAGACAAGGGCAGAGAGGGAAGGACTTAGGTTAATGACTCATTGGGAAAGAAATATAGGGATAGGCTATAGGGAACAGGGAAAGGCCTATTGGTTTCTTGTCTAGCTCCTTTCCAAGGCAGTAGCTCTAATTGTCACTTTCTGCTTTCCAGTTTACAAAACTTCCTTCACAACTACCTTTTAAAGCAAGTAATGTTCCTGTGATCCCCTTTTCATAGAGGAAGATATCTGCAGCTCTGGGACTTGCCCCGTCGTACTCCTAGACAAAGAAAGTTAGGACTCAAACCTCTGTCTGTTGACACCGTCTAGTGCCCTTAACCACTATACAAAACTACTACTTTTCTATGATGTGATATATAATTTGGGCAGAAAATCCCAAACCTACCCACATGTGACCCTGTATTACTCTGAATTAGTTCAGTGTCCAGAGCACACAGACAAATATCTACATGAGACAACCAAGGATGCAGGTATTTATAAGGGAACAAAAATCTTCACTTCACTCCAGAACAGTTGCTTCTTACTCTGCTGAAGTTTTTGGAACTAGAGAAAGGTAGAAAGTCAGTGAGACTAGCTGTGAGGTCCTCCATATGCACAGTTGCCAAAAGGGCAAAAAAAGGCAAGAGAAAATAAAATACTGATCCAGACAGAAGAGTTAAAAGATATGGGTTTGATGGTTGGCTAAGTAATGCTTATTACTAAACATATCTTTGGCGATACTACGTAACTGGTAGTTGTGTGACAGTGGAGCTACATTTGTGATTGCTATTAATAAAAAATGACCCATGACTGTTATTACTATACAGAACACGGTCTGGAAAAGCTCCAGCTTGCATGCAAAAGAACTTTCTGACTCTGAGTAATATCAATAAAAGATTATTTTATGGATAATGCCCAATTTGTCTTTTTCTATTGATGGCACCACCATCTTCCCAGTCGCCCACGCTTGAAGCTTCAAAGCCATCTTGAACTTTCTACTGTGCCATCCCGATGCCAAGTAGTGTCTGTCAATCCTACTTCAATCATATCTCTTGAATCTATCCCCTCCTCTCACACTGTTAAACCTAGTGTATGTCTGATAAAACCATTATCCTGGACTATTGTAACAGCCTCTCAACTGGCCTATCTGTCCGTAGTCTTTCCTCTCCATGTCATAAGGCTGCCCAAACGATCTTTCAAAGGCACAGGTCTGGCCCTCCTGAAAAACCTTACATGATGCCCTATTACCTCCAGGATTAATTACAAACTTCTTAGCCTCTTACTTCTTTCCTTTTGTGGAGAGAGTGCCAGGCCTGGAGTTAGGGAGACTCAAGTCCAAATCTGACCCTGGACACTTACTAGCTGTGTGACCCTGGGCTAGTCACCTAATCTCTGTCTGTTTCCTCATCTATAAAATAGGGATATTATAGCACCTCTCAGGGTTGTTGAGAAGATCAAAAGAGACAATGATTGTAAAGAGCTTAGCACAGCGTCTGGTACACAGTAAACGTAACATACTATATATGTGTGTATATATATATATGTCATATATATATATATCAGCTATTATTTTTATTATGTTTATCTTGTTTGTACATGGTTGTTTATATGTTTTCTCCCCTATTAGACTATGAGCTCCTTGACACAAAGGATTGTGTTTTGCTTTTCCTTGTATCCTCAGAGCTTAGCTCGCCTGGTACATAATAGGTGAGGCCCTCCACGATCTGCTCCAAGCTACTGCCCTAGCCTGTGCCATTATTCTCCTTTATGCATTCTGTTTTCTTTTCTGCAGCTGCTCTTGTCCCCTCCAGATTTTTCTACACTTGTTCACACAATGACTAAGAATGACTCACTCCAGAACTCCCTGCCTGTCAGTCAGTCAACAAACATATTTTTAGCACAGTCTAAATGCAAATTGATTAAAATCCTTCTTTTGCATCCTGATCCATCTCCTCCATGAAGTTCCCCAATTCCTCCAGCTCTTCCTCAAATATTCCTAAGGTATTTCCTGCAGTCTTTTCTCTCTACCACCTTCTACCTTGGATTTTACTTTTTGTCTTTTTAAGTCATTTCTACAGCTCAATGGATAAGTCAGGAGACCAGGAGTATGGACAGACCTGAGTTTAAATCTTGCCTCAGGCACTTAGTTAGCTGTGTGATCCTGGAAAAGTCACTTGTTCTCCCTGACTCAGTTTCCTCCTTGGTAACATAGAGCTAATAATAACACCTAGTCACTTAACCTTTGCTGGCCTCAGCTTCCTCATCTCTAAAATGGGGTTAGTAATAACACTTAGCTCTCAGGGTTGTTTTGATAATCAAAAGGGGTACTATATTTACAGAGCTGTGAATGCTAGCTATGGTTATTATTGCTTGTATTCATGTAACTTCCAAAGGAGGTTGTAAGCTCCTCAAGGGTAAGGAGTGCATAACTTTTTCACCTTCGCATTTCCAGGTCCTATTTCAACATCTAACAAACAGGAGGTCCCTAAAAAAAGTTCATTGAATTGTAATTAATTGTCTTTTGCCCCCAGGGCAATCCATCTCTACGGGTTTCATTGCAAGAGCACACAAATGTCAGAGGCTGCATTAACGGAGGCACTGCAACTCACCAGATCGGTGCTCTTCATTCAAATTAAAAATTACACGTAAATGAATGTCTTCCTCGTAAAGGCTGTGCCCCTTTATCTAAATGCAATTCAATTCAGCATCCAAATGGAGGATATTTGGGCGCTAAGACCAAAATATGACCAGAATCTTTTAAGTCAATGCTTGGTCTTCCCTCTCCCTCTTTCCCCGACCCTCCCGTCCCTCCAGGCCCCGGTCTGAACAAATGCCTTCCCAAAATTTGTTGGTCAGCCTCAGCTTCCTCATTCAACCTCTTGCGTCTGATTGGAGGGAAGTGGAGCTTCTCTTCCCTTTCCTTAGCAGCCCTGGCCTCCTACCTTCCCCCCCTTGCTCAGGACTCGCCAGGGCCAGGTCTCCACGCTCCCAAACAAGGAGTTCTTTATCATGCCCAACATGACGCCGTTGTCTCCACCACGGTCCGGGCTACCACACTGTAGACGCGGGCACAGAGTAGCCTCGTTTCTGCACTTCGATCCTGGCCTCTTCTGTCCCCTGCCCCCACCGCCCAGCCTTGGCAGGAGGAGCTCCGGGAACCGTGGGGAGAGGGGTGGAGCAACCCAGTCAAGCGACCAGGGAGGAGGGACTACTTTAATTAGTTCAATTCTCGTTGGGCTCCACCACAGCTTTGGGTGCTGGAGAAGGAGGACGAATGATTGGCGAGGGGGAGGGCCTGGACTCCACTAGGTAGAGAGCCAGAAATTTCCCAGCTCCGGGTCAGCCTTCAGCTTTTGGTCTTAGCTAAAGAAGTCAGACGTTTTCCTCTCCTGATGTTTTCTTGGTTTGAAGTAGTCATGGAAACAGATCCTCTTCTCTGTTGTGCGAAGGAGGGGGAGATAATCACAACTTGAATAACCATAATTTTGAACCCAAAAGTAATGTCTCCTTATCAGTCTCCTGTACCTATCCCTTTACCCTCAGACCTTCCCCAGGTCTTCTCCAGTTACTTAGACGGGATCCTTTGCTTCAAAAAATTCCCTTAGGCTCTAGCCCTGTATCTCTCCTCCTTAGACCAAATTCCTAGAAAAAGCTGGCTGTCCACGCTAGCTTCTCTGCTACTACTCAATCCTCAACCCTTTGCAGTCTGGACTCCAACATCATCTGACTGAAACTTTTTTCCCCCCAGAGTTACCAGTGATCTCTTAATTGTCAAATCTAATGATCCCCTTTTCAGTCCTCCTCCTTCTTAACCCACCTGCAGTGCTGACCACCTTCTCTTCTCCCTGGGCTGTCTTGTCACTACTCTCCTGGTACTCCTTCTACCTGTTCAATTGCTTCTCAGTTTCCTTTGCTGGTTCATTTTCTAGATCATGCCCATAACTGTAGGTGTTCCCTCAGGCTCTGTTCTAGGCCCCTTCCTCTGTCTCTGTCTCTTTCTGTCTCTGTGTCTGTCTCTCTGTCTCTATCTGTCTCTGTCTGTCTCTGTGTCTCTGTGTCTCTCTCTCTGTCTCTGTCTCTGTCTCGCTGTCTCTCTCTCTCTCTCTCTCTCTCTCTCCTGCTTCCACCAGCAACTCCTGTAGGTTTAATTCTTTCTATGTAGTTTCTCCCTGAGCTTCAATCCCTCATCACCATTTTTTTTAACAGTACTTTTCAACATGCACAAACCGAAGCCATTATTTTTGCTCCTTACCCATTCATCTTCCAGCTTCCTTATTTCAGTGGGAAGGTACCACCATTCTTACAGTCTCCCAGGTTGTAACCTTGGCATTATCCTTGACACCTCCCTCACCTTACATATCCAATCACTTGCCAAATCTTGTGGTTTCTGCCTAAGCCACATCTCTCACATCCCACCCCTTCTCTCTACTCACACAATTTCTACCTAAGCCCCTCATCACTTCTGACCTAGATAATTGCAATGGACTACTAATTGTTCTTCCTCTTTCAGTTCATCCTCCCCACTGCTGTCTAAGAGATTTTCCTTAAGTCTACATCTGACCATGTCATCTTATGCAGTAAACTTTGGTGGCTTCCTATTCCCTCTAGAATCAAATATTAACTCCTCTTTTGAGCTTCTAAAGTCCTTCACAACCTTCCCCCAACCTAACTTTCCAGCCTCCATTGATCTCCTTCCCACACTCTTTGCTTCTGCCAAATTGTCCTCCTCTCTGCTTTTCACCCATAACTTTCCATCTCTTGTGCCTCTCTGTGCTTTTGCACTGGCTGTTCCCCATGGGACACGGGAATGCACAATCTCCTCATATCTGCCTCATAACATCCCTCTCTTCAAGACAGATCAAACACTACCTTTTATGTGAAGACTTCCCTGATCCTTTCAACCACTAGTGACCTCCCTCTCAAGTTACTTTGTATTTAACAACCTTGTATTTTGGGTATATTTATTCTCTTTAGATTTATTCTGTATATACTTACACATATTCTGTTTTTCTCCTCCATTATAATGTAAGCTCCTTGAGAGTAAGGGTTGTTTAATTTATTGTATTTTTTATCCCCAATACCTATCATATAGTAGGCACTTAATAAATGTTTGTTGGTTGATTGATTGATAGATTTGTAATCTCATCTATAAAGAAACTTACCCTGTTGAGTCAGATCCACAACACAACTATAAGGGTCTATTCTGTGGAAAAAGATAAATCTATACTATGGGACAATTTCTTCCCTCACCTTAGGGGCCATGTTGAAATCAAGCATTCAGATTCATTTCATTCTGTTCAGTATAATTGCAAGCTAGATTCTTCCTGTGAAATACCTGGAGCTGATCAGAGATGTGGAAAAAGCACCAGATTTAGAGGAGGAAAGCACAGGTCTGATACTCTAATCTCCCCCTCTCTTTCCTTTTAGCAGCAAGGTGTGGGGTGCTATACCTTATAAAAGAAGAGTTAGTTTCCAGCTGACTCTTTTAAATACAGCCCTCCAAGTGATGAGATGTGATTTCAGTGAAGGGTAAAGAAAGAAGACCCTTCACTACCCTCAACATAATGCTGGTAAGAGTCACTACTACCCACATGGAGAATGGACTAGCTGGTCATGTATGCAGAACCCTGGCTCCTTTCTCCATTCCTTTTGCATTTGCTTTCCTATAGTAATCTACCTTGTGAGAGTTAAAAGGTCCTAGAAGGCTATGAATGTGGTGGCAAGAGCAGCCAATTACTAGAATGACTATGGTTGTTACAGCAATAGCAGAAGGATAGGGCTTGTGTCAAGGAAAGAATTGGCACCAGAGAGAGTTCACTGGCATGAATATCAAACTTAGCTCTTTGATAGGACAATGCCCAATGCTAAGGTGAACTGGGAAATGATTAATTAGAAGCCATACAGACCAGACTAGCCCCTAAAGCCATTATCTAGGAAAGTAAACTTTGTAGAGAAGGGGCAACCAGTCCTCACCAACTGTCAGCCAACTGTTATATATAGAGTAAGCAAGCTACCCTAGGTGGAATAGTAAGACACCTTGAGAGAAAGAAAGGAAGTGGCACGTGCCAGGGGAGTCAAACTACCACCACTATGGTGAAGGCATCTTAGGATGCTGAAACTAAGAGTTCTGGGAATAGCAATATTCCCCTCACCCAGGCTATCAGTCCTACTTCCAGCCTACCCTATGTAACTAAGAAACAAAGCAGCAGCTTTTGTAGATATGTGATCCGGCAAATGCTTCTGCAGATGCTACAGTCCCTGCCTCCTCAACAGCCACTGCTACTGAGAAAAGAAGTTCTAGCCACCATAGTCTCTGAAATGCCTAAATATAAAAATATGAATATAAACTGCATAAATATAAAATATAAAAAACAGATGTGATTTTATCAGTGGAGATGACATTAAAGAAGATACATCCTAAGAATCATGGAACATTTCCATTTGAGTCACAGCTTAAACCTCCTATTTATGTTGTCTCCTCCAACTAGAATATTACCTCCTTGAGAGTAGAGATTATCTTAGTTTTCTGTTTCTATTCCCAACACAAAGTGCTTTGCACATAGTAAGCATTTAATGCTTTTTCATTCTTTCGTTCAAAACTTTCACCAATAAATAAATCAATAAATATTTATTAAATATCTGCTATGTGCCAGGTACTGTGCTAAATGCTGGGGATACAAAAAGAGGCAAAAGAAACTCACTGCCCTACAATCTAATAGGAGAGACAACATTCACACAAATATATACAAATAAACTGCATACAGAATAAATAGTAGATAATTAGCAGAAGGAAGGTACTAGAATTAAGAGGGATTGGGGAAGGCTTCCTGGAGAAGGTAGAATTTTAGTTGGGACTTAAAAGAAGCCAGGAAGGTCAGGAGTCAGAGTGGCGATGGGAGAGCATTACAGGGACAGGAGATGGAGAAAATGCCGGGAACTAAGAAACAAGTGTCTGCTTGGAACAGCCAGGAGGCCAATGTCACTGGATCAAAGAGTAAATGGCAGTAAGTAAGATATAAGAGGACTGGAAAAATAGGAGGAGGCTAGGTTATGAAGAGCTTCGAAAGCCAAACAGAGCATTTTGTATTTGATCTTGGGGGCAATAGGGAGCCACTAGAGTTTATTGGGTTTGGGTGGGGGTGAAATGATCAGATCTACACTTCAGGAAAATTACTTTAGTGACTGGAGGATGGATTAGAGTAGAAAGAGATTTGAGGCAAGCAGACCCACTAGCAGCTGTTGCAATAGTCCAAGCCCGAGGGACTGCACTAGAGTGATGGCAGTCAGAGGAGAGAATAGGGCATATTCAAGGAGACTTGAACAGCAGACACTTAGCTGACATTACCAGTAGTAATACGTTATTGAATTCTGCTTTAATCATTCTGTAATGTATGCTACAATTCTTTAATGTTTAGTATTTCCTTTTCTGTGCGGGAATAAGCAATCCCTCCCATACCCAATTCATATCTGTACATTACGCACATCTACATGTAATATATTCATATCTGTACATTACATACATTTGTACATCCCCTCTTTTGGGAAACCATATAGATTTTGGGGTTGTAACTATTATAATAATTAGCCACTTTTAATGGAAAGCTAGGGAGAGGGTGATCATCCAATGAATGTGAGAAAGAGAAGACTTCCCCTAGTGTTAAACCCTAGTATAGGACTCCATGGCTGGGGATAGGAGGAGGGAGCACCTCATCTCTTGTGAATCCCAGCTGTGGCTCTCATATGCCAGAAATCTGTCCTCCAAACTGCTACCAAATTGGTGTTTCTAAAGCACAGGCAGGTCTGACCATGTTATTCTTTTTCTCAAAAAGTTGCAGTGGCTCTCTCTTGCTTCTAGCATAGAATAAAACTACTTTGTCATTTAAAGTCATTCATAATCTGGCTTCTGCCTACTTTTCTTTTTGTTTACTTAAATTTTCTTTTTTATTATGGGACTTTACAACCATCAACATACATAAACCTGTTGATATGAAAAAAAAACCCATAAAAGAGGATTGTATAAGATACTGTGAACTTCTGTAATGTACTGTTTGTTTTAAGTGCGTATTAAATTTTATATGGTAAATGGTATAGTATGGTGGTATAGTATAGTATGGTATATAGCAAAATTGTCATATTTGTCAGCATCTCTGTCTCAATTTCTTCCCTCTCCCT